TTGGTTTGATCGGGTGGCGCGACCCGCGACCCGCGTTGGTTCTTACAGCACCTGTATTCTAGGAATTGGCATATTCATTGATGGTCGAGGTTGTGGCTTTCCAGGATATACATTTGTCAGACTCACGCAAAATAAACCGTCGACTATACTTCATACAGTGTACGGTGCGAAATGTCAGAACCCACGATGAATTTTGGTGCTAATTCCACAGTTTTTTTCCGATGCCGACTTTTTGATTAATTGTGTGAGGTCTAGCTATAACTATATATAGCTAGTTATAGACATGTTAATTTGGAATCCTAGTCATTAAGAATACAAGAACAGGAACAAGATAAAGGAATGTATTAAAAAATATAGCAAAAAATAAACATAAAAGCTATTAAAAATAACATACTGTCATTACTCCTAGAGCACAATACTGACTGAACTCTTTGATTCCCCCTACCCACCACATGAGTAGCCTACTCTTTAATTCCCCCTACCCACCACATGAGTACTCTTTAATTCCCCCTACCCACCACATGAGTACTCTTTAATTCCCCTACCCACCACATGAGTAGCCTACTCTTTAATTCCCCCTACCCACCACATGAGTACTCTTTAATTCCCCTACCCACCACATGAGTACTCTTTAATTTCCCTACCCACCACATGAGTACTCTTTAATTCCCCCTACCCACCACATGAGTACTCTTTAATTCCCCCTACCCACCACATGAGTACTCTTTAATTCCCCTACCCACCACATGAGTAGCCTACTCTTTAATTCCCCCTACCCACCACATGAGTACTCTTTAATTCCCCCTACCCACCACATGAGTACTCTTTAATTCCCCTACCCACCACATGAGTAGCCTACTCTTTAATTCCCCCTACCCACCACATGAGTACTCTTTAATTCCCCCTACCCACCACATAAGTACTCTTTAATTTCCCTACCTACCACATGAGTTCTCTTTAATTAAAGGCGGAACAGTAGGTGAAATAAAACACTAATCTTGAGCACAGCAAATTGAGTTAGAAAAATCTGCTACTGTATGTCGCAAATCGGAGAGGGTACAAGTTTGATGCACTTTGCTTACTGAATACTTAAAAGCTGATTCAATCAGTTATCAGCTGATGCGCTTCCTGCCTGTGTAATCTGATAAGGGCCAATGCCCATCAAATCATTTCACTAGTACCAATAAATATCTTTGTGATGCATTATATGCAATCGATATGGATTTCGATCCAAGATTACTAACTACACACACTTTAACTTATCAGTGCGATTAAAGTGTATTATAGCGTTAATATACATAATTATTAGCTTTACCTGGAATACTGTACTACTAAATCTACTACTGTAATACTATATTTGTAATACAATTGACTCCCTCTTATCCGGACACCTTTTAACCGGTCATCTCGGCGTAAATGACATCTCTTTACAGACAATTCTTATCAGCACATAGGTTTAACCGGAGTGGATCGGCAGGAAGTGAGCGGTACTAAAACGACTGTTCTCGTGGGAAAGATTAGAGACCAGGGATCACGTGCCTCTAAATACAATCTTCAGTATCCAATAGTCAATGATACAATGCTCTCCTATATTTAAGTCAAATACTGTATACAATATGCATTTAAACGGTCCGTTTTAACGAGTTTTTGGGGACGTCTGTTTAACCGGAAAACCCGTATATCCGGACGAGTCCGGATAAGAGTGAGTCTATTGTAGAGGATTGTAAAAAACTTCATTCCAATGATTACACTAGACTTATGTTACGTATTAGCTAGATTTCAATGACTCCACTATGGAGTAGATAATTTATTCGTTCACCTTTTGACAATATAGTATTATTTCAAATTTACTGTGTGGCAGCACAAAATAGGTAGTTAAAAAATAGTCTCCTCTGCTCCTATAAGTAATAGAGAGAGACTTTGTGGATATTTAAGGTCACGAATTGTGGAAATTTATAGACATGCGCTATGGATGCGATACTCCCTGGTGTGGATTAACGTCCGCACTAGTGAGTACTACGACTATTTACACATCCTCATCCTGATAATTTGACCAATTCTTTAATTACAAGGCAAAAAAGTGGTTCGTATTCCACTTATACTGTAGGTCCCTTAGTTCTGTGTTTAAGGATCATGTCGGCTTTAGTCACTAACAAGACTACAAGATCGCTCATCATACACTCATCCTTCACTCATGCTTGGCTTAAAATACCACATTCATATGGTCGCCATTTCGGAATAAAGTATTAAAGGACCTCAAACCTTAAAGGCCAGGATCTGGATCTAAGGCAAAATCCCAAATATTCTATAAATATATAATGCAATCCTGAGTAAAGTTAACTTTCTGCGCAATACAAACTTAATTGGTGCAGTGGTGGTAGAAAGATAGGCTACAGAATAAATGGCGAGACACTAAACTCAATATTAGTTTCTCACCATTTACTCGGTGGATAGACATAATTCAATCCAACAATATTATTCTTTGTCAACAAAAAACGAACTGCCAATGGTAACTGAAAGTTTTCAAACTTAAACTTACACTAGTTTTCAATCCATTTATCCATGCATTCCGGTGTTACTACAGTAGTCTATGGACAATGTGGAGGGACGTTATAACCAGCCTATTAGTGCTTAGGGCACTCATTGTGTGCTAACATACAAGACGGACGAGTCAGGATTTGAACTTGGCCTTCATTTCCGGGTCAACTTAGGTATAGCCTGATTCTACTCGGTCGCGAAGCCAAACGGAAAATGTCAAACGAGTTAGAACTGAAGTTCTGCTATTTCCAAAACAACCCACTTTATGTGAGCACATCACGGCGTTGTCTTCACCGAATTTGTAGCGTGCCACTGTGTGATGTCCTACAAAATAACCAGGAGTTTCGTAGATATCTATAGTACTGCTTCAACTCGTACTACATGGATTTTGTGGTGTAACTTTCATCTTAGGTCCTCTTCTTACGGATGAAATGTTTTCTGTTCGTTGTTTTGAATGCATTGTACCAGATTTTTAACTGATTGCCAGTAACACGTGTCCACATGGAACTATATAATACACACTGCACAGCGATGATCGAAAAGTATAAGTGGGAATCAGCAAAAACACTGATGTAGAACTCAGGTTTTAAAATGTTGACATTTCTCTAGGTTCTTGTCCTGAATTGTTTTCCAACTTCAAGCTAGGTCTATATTATAGAAGGAATCGCGGTATTGTTACATGGATAAAATCCATTAGTGATTGGCGGGATTTGAACCCGCGACCTCGAGGAACGATGTCCCACGCTCTACCACTAGGCCAGCTCGCTCACCTGTCTACTACACTACTGTTACGGATAAATACAAACTTCCTACTACAGTAACAGTTATCATTAAACCACGGCCAATCTCTCACCGACCCTTCTCCTTGGCCAACAGAACCACCGAAGCTTGAAATATGTGCTCCACCTTGTATTACAATGTTAGACCCCTAGATGAACGAAGAGACTAATTCTACTTACATATAGATTATGAACCCCGTCTGACTTTTTATTATTCTCTCTATGGTGACTATAAGTGGGTCTATAATCAATGCTAAAAAAATGTTTAGTTGGGTGGTTTTGGGTTTTGGTCGAGGCTCAAACTCGGTAAAAGACTGAAAATAACTCTTTCTTAGCCACAGTGGGGCGACAAAAGACACGGAAGGATACATCAGTTCCGCCAGACCCCGTATCATCTTAGCATCGGATAATCAAAAGACACACGCCAAGACACCAACCTTAGTTCCGACCACCGACCACATTGTGGTCCACTTCCGCCGCTCCGACACACCAAATCACTTCCGGTAGATTAACAGCAAACATACACAAGTGAACTTGATGACGTAATAACACTGACCCTAGAGGATGTGTACGATATGTACAGCCTTGGTGTTCACCCGATTGTATAGTCAAATCAAGTATTTATTGTACTTGTACTGCAATTGATGATAAAAGTAATCAGGACCTAAGTAACCCATTTCAAACTTAAGAAGCACAAATTTGATTTGAGAAAAGAATGGTACTGACGCGAAGTCAGTGTGAAATAGTGTATGACATTCCAAAACTTCTGGAGGTGACATGATATATAAAGCATAACATTTTAATATAAATAGTTGACAAATTTTAAATTTCGCTCCGAAATCATAAGCCTTTTCATAAACGTACAATACAGTATCTACAGTATCCACTAATGGGGTTTGTAATACCTTTTAAAAATGTAATCCCGAAACTAAGTTATTCAACCGAACGCCAAAACATTATGAGACATTAAATAACCACTTTTGTGTCTGTGAGATATTGGTAGGAAGTTGTAAATCAAAGTTATCAACGCCACTATCAGCTCCGGAATAGCACAGAACCCCGAAACATAGCGGGAAAAAGAGGTGTGTGCGTCAATTGCGAAGGATGTAATGTTTTAATGTTTAAAATATATCTGATTTTTTACGTTTACGCAGTTATTCCATAACAAAAATTCATTTTGATTTGCCCCACAATAGGATAGATTATTGAACGCGATTCAAAAATTGTACATTTCATATAACATCGGATATGAGATGCGGAAACAGTTGGTATATCAAATACATGCATATGTATATTCATACATTGCTCATCATTTAAGAAAATCCAACGTATCAGACTAGTCTATCCTTTCTATAATCGTGGCTGTAAAGGGATCAGGCTTTGATGTAAGGGAGGTAATCACTTGTGGCCAGAGGAGACTAAAGTTGAATAATGCACAGTAACAGAATTCAGGTAACACATTCATATTGGAATCCGCTTTTTTAATTTAAGATCATAAATCAGAGATATTTCTAAAAAAGAAACACTAAAAGTGCAAGAATTACTCATAACTGTATAAAATATTTAAAAATTAGCAATCAATAAAAAAAAATCAACTTGTACCTATTAAACAGTGTGATTACGTTTGCATGGTTGCTGAAACACTAAAACCTTAAGCATACAAAGGTAAATATGCAGACTGACCCTGATTTGGTCGGAAGAGACGCTGTAGTCGGTGTAGTGTTCCAACTTGTGTACAGAGAGCGCATGACATTGGCGAACCTTGGAGGCAACCAGGAGACATACACAGGCGACCATCTGTAGCTGAGTCTTGTCCACCCGAACCTCACACAGGAAGCGGTCCAGGAGGTTGACAGCGATGCTAAACACCTGAGACTCACATCTCTCCTCCTCACACACCTGTAGACACAAGTACATGAGGTAACTCCCAGTCACACAGTACAAGACTACAGTGATCGTCTGTAGATGTACCTCACACAGGAAGCGGTCCAGGAGGTTGACAGCGATGCTAAACACCTGAGACTCACATCTCTCCTCCTCACACACCTGTAGACACAAGTAAATGAGGTAACTCCCAGTCACACAGGGCATGACTACTGCACAGAGAAGTACAGCAATATAAATTAGAAAAGTAATGTAAATATTATAGATGAACCACACGCAGGAAGCGGTCTTGGATGTGTAGCTTTCCACCTTGTTACACGGGAGTATAAGGGATACATCGATGGTATAAGGTAGGTTGATTGGGACTATTGGGAGTCCAATAGGTCTCAGTTGACGTAGAACATGAACATGGGCAATCTCCAGTGTCTAGGCTACTACGTAGCAGGTTATCAAAACATAGTCAAGCAGTCTGGCGAATTGTCACCTAGTTCGTGTGTTACTGAATATTTTGGCGTAAAAATTGGGTTTCTAAATAGTACTTCCTGTGATTAAATTTGTTAAAAAACTGCACCAATACTTTTTCGATCTTCAGCAGAATATGACTTCAATAGAACGTCCATGAACGATGAAAATGGTATCAATCCGTTTCCGAATCTTGTTGCTTAACACAATTATATAGATTATCAACCATGAGTAGGTATTTACAGCATTTTAAATACTATTTATCGGTACTAATTCGAAGCCCCTAACGAAAAAGTGCATATTTTGTATAATTTTTGGTACAGTGGAACCTCGGTGACAAGACTCTCGATAAAGTATCAAATTACAACCCCTTTGAATTTGTTTTACCTCTAATCACATGTTATTGCAAACATCGATCAGAAGTAAACCTTGATGGGTGGTGATATTAATCGCCATAAGAGTCTTGTTATCGAGGTTCTACTGGTTATAACACAGTAACCTCTTTTGATCGATAAACTACATGTTACTTTGATGTAAGGAATAACAATCATTACTTACTTACTCAGTCGTGTAACCACATCCCATAATTTACATTTCATAAATATTATTTGTACTTAAGCATTGAAAGACGTATTAAGTTGTTTTTACGTTGTATTTGAGGCTATTATACGCATGGGGCGGATTTTACTGCGCGAGGAGTGTGGAACCATTTCTTTATCAATACATCAATCTACGTGTTATCTAATCACCACCCTACACAACTCCTTCCCCTCGACCTATTCACCCCATTACGTTTATAACCTCTAAACATATTTAAGACATTGGAGATCTCTGCGATTAATAATAAATATTAGTAAACGAAACTAATACGACAAACTAAATTATTTTTCGATAAAAGCGATGGCCCACTTTCAAAATCCTATCAAATACTGGCAAATTATGATACTAGCAAATTAAAAAAATACAGTACAAAGGGGAAAACGTCAGTTGTAACTATTGAGCAAAGATTCCACTGAAGATTACTCGATATTATACTCCCATATAATAGGGGAAAATAGTTCCAAACAAATACTGATTATTTTACTTCGCCCTTTCCCACCAAAACCTCAATCCGCGAAGTACTAAGGCAATTTATTCTTTGCAAACTTTAGGTTTAAAGCGAAATAAACATTGAAATCTAATATATAAAATTCTCGTGTCACAGTGTTTGTCTGCAAACTCCTCCGGAACGACTTCACCGATCGTTATGCAATTTGGTGTGTAAATTCTGTAGGTATGCGAATCGGACGTAAACTATTTCCCGTTTCGAAATTCTTAAAAGGGCTCCGCCCCAGTGGCTCTGGAGTTTCCCATGTTAACCTTATGAGAAATGGAATTAATGAATCTTAACAGCTGTTTCAATTAAACAAGTTGGTTCTGTTCTATGATGTTCAATAGCATTAAAGTTACAAGGATTACCAACAGGGTGCAGCACTATTATTTCTTTTACATTTATGACAACGGCTAATTTGCAACCAAAAGGTGAGTGAGCGTAGCGAACGAACTTCAACCTGGAGGCGAGTGAGCGTAGCGAACGAGCTAACCTGAAGGCAAGTGAGCGCAGCGAACGAGCTCCAACCTAAAGGTGAGTGAGCGTAGCGAACGAGCTCCAACCCAAAGGTGAGTGAGCGTAGCGAACGAACTTCAACCAGGACGTGATTGAGCGATGCGAACGAGATCATCTTGAAAATTAAACGTAACGGTACTTTCTTTCCATCGGTCTGTCTTAGGGGAAACCTATAACTTAGGCGATACGAAGTTCGCCGGGTCAGCTAGTATATTATATATTTTATTTTATGTATATTTGAATTAAAACAAACATTTTCAATCAGATGTTTTAATTAAAAAACTGTCACTACATTTATCTAATGACAGACTTTTCTAAATGAGCAAATTTTTGCATTTACTTTATGTAGTGTTAATAAAGATGTTATTTTGTTATAAAATATGTTAATGAGTGTTTCGTGTTGGTTACGTTTGAGTGCACTGGCGTTAACTCAATGAGTCACTTTTATTAAAGGTTAGGCTACATTTTACAATGTTTACGCAGTCTTTTTTGTATTGTAGGCTATATAATATGGTGAGCTGAATTACATTTTTTTTTTACATTAGCAAATTATGAATTACATTAGCAACATTAGTCTTAATAATCTTAATAATAGAAATATACGCTTGAATAGGACATATTTTTCTTCAGTAATCCATCATACGATAGTATTTTTAAAAGTCTGCTCATGCTGAAGTTTTACTTTTTTTTAAGAAAGATTAAGTTTAGTAGGAAGAAATAAATCACACTCCTTACATACATAAAATAATTGTATTTTTATGATCAAATGTAAATAACACTTTTAAAAGAAAGATCATATATGTGTATCCTATTTTTTTATTGCCAACGTTTATATTACATGCGGTAATTGATGACCGCTGAATAATAAAATTAACCAATAACATGTCCTAAAACATAACAAAACAACGTTCACTATATTAACTAAAAAATATTGAGGGTTGAAGTCATAATGGTTTAGGCACTATTTAAATAAATAAGTGTACTGACATCGGCCGATGAATTATTTTACGCAGCGTCAGATTACCGAGAGTGACGGACTATCAAGTGCCGAATTATCGAGCGCTAATTGATAATTGTATTGGTGAGGTTCATACATGAAACAATTTACGCAAATCGCAACAAATAAAGATTTTGGATTGCAAGATAATACCGGATAGTACTGAGGAGGTGAGTCATCTTTTGATAGTTCTTACTCTCAGTAAGGATTCATTTTTATTAATATGACTCAGGAACGCACATACGCAACAAGTAACTATAACTTATTTCCTCAAATGTGACATACTAAGGAGAACCATCTACTAGACAACAATTGGGGGGGGGGGGATCTTAAAATAATTATTACATCCACACACAACACACTTCTGTCATTGATTGACACAACCTTGGTAACACTATAAAATCCTATCCTAACAATAAAAACATACATATTGTATAAGTTTAAGGTGATATTGTTTTTAAACTGTATTATCTGTCTAATATAATGTTTCTTAGTATTTAATCAAAATCGGAAATGATTTTACTATTCAGAATGTTAAAATTCATTATCCTAACTAATATTAACATATTTTATTATTATTATTCATTCAAATTAAACTTTTTGTTAAAATAAACGTAATACATTAACTGTTTGATTGAAGGAAACAAATATGCAAGTTGGCACAGTGTGAGTACAATAATGAGAATGAACAAAGTTGATAAACTGATAAACACAGAGACATGAACGAATAATGACAACAATTTCTGTAAGAAGAATAACAAAACAAAATAACAAACTAAACAGGGGACAAACAAACAAATTAACAACAATATATTCATGCTAAGGTAAAAGTACAGTGTTAACAATAATAAACTGTGCAAAAGAGGAAAAAAGGAGACATGAAAGTAAAAATAGTTTATGAGAACAGAAATTATAATTTGAAGATACTGTATAACAATTTGTGATGGTGGAGATTTTGGCTAGGTGATATTACATTAAAAGCAATTTAGGGTGATAATGCAAGAGTGCAAGACATTAATATTAATTAGTTATAAAAACATATCAGACATGTTTATGTATTGGATTAACTTTAAGATAGTTTGGGGTTGTGCATGCATTACTTATGTATATCCAGCATGACGATCTGTTGATGTAATTTTCGGCTAATGTTTAACTCTCACCTCCATCATCCATGTAGCGACCACCTTCCTCATGAACGGTAGAAGCCCAGTCTGTACCGTGGCGAAGTAGTTGCACCTCGGGATGTACCGCGACTCCTCCGTTAGGAGATTGTCCAGAACACGACGATCAGAGAATATCGTAGGGTCCAAGTCAGCCACAGACTCACTTACTGATCCTATCCTCTCTGCACACAATAGATCGGCCATCTCAACACGTACACGAACACGCACACACGTGTAGTCCGACACGTTGGAGAGACTGGTACAAGTTCACTGCAGTAACAGCTCAGCTGGTATGACGGACGAGGAACGACGAGGGAGACCCGTGCGCGATGCCGGGAACGGGGACACGCAGCGATCCTGGCGGTGGACCTAGCAACCACGTGTCGTCTGCAATCCTTTACATCACCTGGTTAGGCAGGCAGCTGCTATCGCCATGGGGGAATGTACTATACATTTGACAATGTGTGTAAGCACTGTCAATATATTTCTTCCTGCACATACAGCTGAAATGAATTTTACACTAGCAACTAAATAACTATAAAAGGGGATAATACATTGTAAAATAAATTTAGTTTTTGCCATTCTATGACAATGAAAGCTCTCACAATAATATAATTCAATTGTTCAGTTTAAATAAATGAATGTTTGGAAAATGAAATTTTAATTGAAAAGATATTTTTAAGTATTGTTTAATTAAGGGGCGTAATCAATTGTGTGGTTTCAATAATAATACATTGAAAATAAAACTTGTATTCAAAAAAAGATATAGAAGCGAAAGTAACTTGATTCTATTTTATAGCAAATCAAACTCTCAATGAAAAATGTATGTAAAGAAGAAGTGTGAAATAAAATCAAAAACTAATTTAACTCATTCAATTACAGAACAAAACATAACACTATTTGTTTACATAACAAAATAAACATAAAACAATGTGATCAGCTGTTTCCAATATATTACATCTTTCCCTCCCCATCGTATACCGCACCTACTCCTTCGCAGTTGATTAAAATGTTTTCTTTTTAGCACACAACCGCACATGACTTCATAAGAGTAGAAGCCATCGCGTTTGACTATTGTTCCTGCTATCCAACCAGAGTTATTCTCATTTTTAACCCATACTTCTTCCCCTTCACTGAATACTAATGTTCTTAAAGTTTTCTTTTGAGTTGAATTTTGTTGTTCTCTCAAAGTTTTCAGATCTAACTGTTGTCTTAGGTTTTGTTTCATGTTGTCCAACAATGTTGGCATTCTTCGGCCAAGAAACAACTATGGACTCGTCCTGTGGTTTTTGTGGGGCATGTCTGTAACTGAACAACACATTTTGCATTGCCAATGAAGAATCACGAATTTATTGTTTTGTTGTTCTGTATTTCCTTTCCAATGTGCCTATTTTATTTTAAATTTGGAATTAAATTTGTGTTTTCATTATGGTCTATCCTCAGTGAAAATTAATAGCATCTAAAACTATAACGTATAACAACCTAGTGCGCTTTAAAAAAATTAAATTTTGCTGTAAAATATCTATTCGAACAATATTGCGAAAGGAAACTTATACTTTAGGCTACTGTAGATATTGGAGTCTCTTGGCACAGACAAGAGAAGTGTTTAATACCCAAACATTTACTTTACTTTTTCCCGCAATTATGGTTTGGCAATCCATACGGAACGGGTTTTACATTAAGAAAACAAAAATAGATTTTTGTGAGATTTTGAAAAAATAACGAAGATATAGCTTATAACAGAATGGGGGAGATCCCTGTATTATATATTTTATTTATTCGAGCTAGTATTAATGTATTACTTTGAACATTCTGTTGTACCACTATAGTACCAATGAAATACAAAAATATACAAGATAGAGGCAATTTTTTGCGGGAATTAAAAAAAATCGACTTGACTATGGCAAAAGACGACAGGGAAGTCGAAGGAAAACTAGAACAATAGAGAGATTTGTTCACCAATACAATAAAAAGCAATGTACCTGGCACTGCCAGCCACTAGGTAGATTAGGGCTACTGACCGGACGGACATCCAACCCCGTCAAACCTTTGTTGAGTTCACAGTAACAAGAGGTCAGATTCCTCTGTGGAATTTAGGCCAAATCGTAAGCATATAGCGTAGAGAATAGAAAGCGTCGCAGAAGCTTAATGAGCTTCTAACTGGCCGAATATGGGGATGAAAAATATCATAATGTAAACAAATTAAATGCATACCCTGTGTGCTTAACCAACCCGCCCTTCTGGTCGCCATAGAATCTTTGGGAATCGATCTATATCTATATTGTGACTGTAAACGTTTTCATTCACACATACCTAAGGGGTTTTGTTGGAATCGACTTTAATGCAAACTTTCTTCCATCATCACGCAATAACAACTGATATTTATACAAATAGTGGGAAGGTTTGCGAAGAAAGAAAATTGAGTAAATCCCATCCTTATATATAATTCTGTAAGACAACATTTTTACCAGAAAATTGTGGACGTCTGGTAAGTCACAGAAAAGTGGGAGGGGTCTTAAAGGTCTTTTTTTTTGGGGGGGGGGGGGGGGTATTAGTCTTGACCCCAGGGACTCAGGAAAAATAACAGAATTCCCATAAAGTTACCAGAAAACGAGATATAACGTAAAATGTTCTCCATAAGTATACCATTAGAAGCCATTTTGCTGCTGATTTTTAATTACTTCAATACAGCTGATCGTGATTTATCATCATCGATCTCTATTATTACTAGAGATCGATGTTTATCATCAAGCCAGTACGCAATGTTAACATATTGGTTTACTTATTTGCCAGTCAATTCTGCAATGTACCATATAAAACCAAGGACAAAGTTATCTATAATAATTAAGACTTTTTAATTACGTTATAGAATGTGGAAATACATTATTTTACTGTGAACCTTTTCAAATTTGTGTATTTTTAACGTTTATTATGAAATAACCACCTTGACTAAATAATTAACGATTCAATATTAAATGAAAAGCTTCTGCTTTGTTTTTTATTTCAAAACATACCGGTATGTTCTAGATTCTTTAATTTTAATTATTGTAGTGTTTAATCAATATCTATATATTAATTTGAAACTGTTTTTCTTTGTGACAGCTAATTTGAGAGAACGGCTGAGCGTAGAAACTCGGTAGAGGTGTCTAAAGAGAGGTCCTGGTCTGTAGATGAGCCATCAAAAGAGAAACATGGAGAATTCCCTTGGGGCTCTGCCCCAGTGGCCTTTAAATTCCCATCCCATGTTATTCTTATGGAGGAAAAACGGGGTTTTGTCACAGCTAATTACAGAGAACGGCAGGGCGTAGAAACTTGGTAGTGGTCTCTAAAGAAAGGTCTTAGTTTGTAGGTGAGCCATCAAAAGAGAAACAAGGTAAATTCCCTTGGGGCTATGCCCCAGAGGCCTTTAAAGTCCCCTCTTCAGATTTGTTTACACTACGACCATATGCATACATTTACACTACTTTTGAATGAAACAGCTGTTAATATTTAAATTTGGATTTACTAAATTTGTTAAAATGAAGTATTTGCAATGGTTTTTTCTGATTTTAAAATCGATTTTCTTCTGAATCGTGCCATGTTTTGCAATATAATGTTCTATTACCAAATCAGTGGAAAATCCTAATATCACAGTAACTCTTAAAATTATTTCTTATGGAGTTATCTATTGTATGGGTTGGTTTCTGACTTTCTTCTTGGAGATTGCACGTAGACGATATTCTTTGGCGTATTGCATCTATAGTAGACGATACTTGGTGTAATTTTAGCGAATTTCCCTATAGGGAAGTAGCTATTACCGTAGGTGGCACGGTAAGACCTAGACCCGGGACCGATTTACTTTTTCATTTTGATGTCCCCAGAGGCCAAAAACACCATTCGTTCAAATTTTTATATATGTATATATATATATATATATATATAGACTTATATATATATATATATACGTCCGTGAACGCGATAACTTGAGTAATTTTTGTCCGATTTTGATGAAATTTGGTTTAAAGGTGTAAAGCGGGATAAACTTGAATGAGTTCGCGAACCAGCACGATCGGACCATGGGAACGGGGCTTTACGGGGGGTTTTATGGGGTAAAAATTGGTTTTTCTCACTTTTGACCCTCAAAACACAAAATTTTCCGATTTCTCTTTAGACCTTTTTAAAGAGCTTAAAAAAACAAATAATTTAGTATATAAAAGTATTTTTGTTCAATTATTAGTAACGGAGAAAATTTAAAAAATTGTAAATTTAAAATTCCCATGTTATTCTTATTTAGAATATTGTCAAATGGTGTAGTTTGCTTGTTTATGGATATATTTTGATCAAACTTGGCAAATTTATTTATTTTGTACTAAGCTATCAATATTTTACTCAAAAACACACTTTATTAGTTTCCTTGTAGCAGCAAACCTAGGTACTCGTTAAACCTAATGTTATTAAAATATATTTAACTGAAAATCAATTCAGACATATTGAAATTCGCTTAGTCGGCAGGTTTGCTGCGGCGGGGGTATTTAAAATTACAATGGAAAAGAGTGAGAAAACTGGACAATTTGATATACTAAAAATAAAACTAAATAAACACTGTGCTACATTTCTTGAGCAATAATTAAAAGAGCCGATTCGCAAACAATGGAAACAGGAAAGTTTTAACACAACCAAGTACAGTAGAAGAAATAGAAATAATGTTCTTTTTTTTTCATTTATAATCGTTATTATAGACAACCTAATGCGGCTATGAGTGGGGAAAATTTGTTGAAAACACTAAAAAACAAGGTCAGCTTTTGAAAAAAGATAAGATATTTACAAAAAATGTTGATTATATCTAACTGCTGTGTACATCTTGAGCATTTCCATAATCTTTGAGTAGACTCTTATAAAGTCATGGAAAATTATGACTGTTATTCGTTTTAAAATAACGCCTGTAATGCTTCGCAATTGCTCGAATTCGAGCAACAGGTACACTAGTTTTGTATGAAGTGGAATAACCTCAACGGCTACTGTTGGAAAATAACCTGCGAATACGATGGAATAGGTTCGTTCGTACAGGATATATATATATATTTGTTAATTAAATAAGTACTATGGGGGTAGTGGATTTTTATCCCCCTGGAATTTTATCCCCTGGGCAAACGTGACGTCACATACCAGGGGTTAAAATTCCGGCCGCGAACTTTTGAGTTTCGCGACATCAGCTCAATGGATTAAACGCGGAATTAAACATATATTTTCACAGTTGTGAATTTAATCAGAACACATCAAATTATAAAAACCTA